GTTATCCTGGCAAAATGTGGGGCCTGGAGCTGGCCCTGGTCTTCCTGCAGGTCCTCTGTGTATTCACTTTTGTCCCAGGGACTGGTATCTTCAGACTTCTGAGTTATGATAGTGAGAGATGTGTTCATAATATCTCCTAGACCCAAAGGCATGGTCAGTTTTCCAGTGCCAGATTTTCAGCCTTTTCTGACACTTTTTGCCAAACCCTTGACGGTCTCCCTACGTTAGCCTGTTCAGGTCACCCCCTGTAATGTTATTTGTTAAAGGTGGACTGGTTCCTGAAATGGTTCCTTAACAAATGTGTGAATGCCACAGGCAGTCATTTGCAGGAAACAAATCGATGGGTGTTTTCTAGTTAGTCACTATACATCATTTAATTTGTCAAATCTTTGCTGCTGTCAGCAACTGTTCTTTCATGCTTCTCAATTTTAAAATGTTGAAGCAGAGTCCTCCAATTGGTTGATCACCCCCTCAGGATACATTATTGGCAGTCTGAGTGCTAAACTGAGCTTCATATGAAGGACCATCGTTGCCTTCACCGGGCCTGATGCATACCTCCCTCTTGGCTAGTATTTCTTTAGAAGAGGATGTCGTTCAAGTAAAATACCGAGTGAATGGTGCCCCCTGCAGGATACAACTTCATAGTGCTGGGAGAGACCTAGAAGTCACCAGTTCACATCCCTTACTCCAGCTCCCCCCACGCCATCCCACTCCTTGGAAGGGCTTATCAGATGTTTTGCTTCAAATGTCAAGCGTCTCTAAAAGTCCCTGGTGAATCAATTCTGTATTTATCTGCCTTTTAACTAGGATTTTCACCCTGAAAACTGGGTTGTTAGGTGCAGCTGAGTTGGAACTGACTTATCACTGACCCTCCACTGGGTTTTCAGAGGCAGTAAATCGCACAGGAGCGGACTGTATGTCCTTATCCCCTGGAGCAGCTGGTAGATTCAACTGTATGCCTTTCGTTGGCAACACAGCTCCTTACCTACTAGTAGGTCCCCAGAGCTCCTCCTGCAATTCCTGTTCTGTCATATATTTCCAGGGCCTGTACCTAAAGGAGAAAGAAGCGGGAAGTAGGAGTGCCAAGACAGAGATGACAGAAGGGCTCACCTAAAAGTGTACTTTATGTGCCAGTGACGATACAGGCTTGAAATGGGCTTGTTAGAGAATACATCAACATAGGACAAATTAAAAACTCATTGCCGTTGATTTTGGACCCAACTCATATCATAGATGACCCTCCAGCAGGTTTTCAGAGGCTGTAAACTGCACAAGAGACATTATCTTCCCTTCTCCCAGATAGGAGAAAGAGCTGCTGGTGGATTTGAACCACTTGCCTTTGGGTTGGCAATGCAACTCCTAATCCTCTCTGCCACCAGAGCCCTCGTATGACAAAACATATTCTACATTCCCTATAAGTCTTAATTAGGTCCATGGTTTAAGCATAAGGAGTTGTGCTGCCATCGCAAAGGCTTCAGATTTGAGCCCCCAGCCGCTTCACACAATAAAGACGAGCAATTTCCTCCCATGTGATTTACTGTCAATTCTGACTTGATGGTATTTAACAATAACATATTAAAAACTGTTTCAATGGGGGTAAAAATGGGATTTTTGTCATGTAAAAAGAAATTATACCTCCATTGTCATATATATAAAAATCTTATGTTAAATATTAACACCTGACCTTCTTACCTTCTTGAAAGTGACTGGAGCTGGAGAGAATGCAGACCACAGACCCCAAGCAAGTCTGATAAGGAATGAGTTCTACTAAAACTAAATCACAGTGCATAAGAAAATAACAGAACTCAGTAAACAGAAAGGCAGAGAGTTAGGTACAGGTGGGAAATGCATGGTGGGAAAAGTTCCAGCCCAACATTTTTGTTGCTGGGGCCACTGACTTGACTCTAACTCACTGCATCCCTGTGTGCCGTACACGGAATCCCCACCCGAGTCTGCACCTTCCTCACAATCTCATTTCTGCTTCCACCCATTGTTACAGCCACTCAGTCCATCTTGCTGGGAGTTCTTCCTCTCCTTTGCTGTCCCTATACTTCTCCAAGGACTAGCTCCTCCTGATAACATGCTTCTTGTTGTTGTTGTTTAATGCCATCGAGCCGTAGATGACTCATAGCGACCCTATGAATGAACAGCCTGAGCACTGTTCATACATAGAGTTTACAGAGGCAAGCCATTTTGGAAGTGGATGCCGCTCCTGCTTCCAGGCTTGATTTAGTCGGGAAGCTCCAGCCAACACTGTCCACCATGGGTGCCCATTACCACGATTGGCACATCACTGTCACAGGCTTCAGCATCACAGCAACCACGAGTTACCTCTGTACAGCAACGCAGAGACCAGTGCTATACCACCTAGAAGAATGTTTGACAGGAAGACAATTTGAACCTGGCCGAGGGCCGCAGGCCCAAGGGCCCTTTGGGCTTAAGGCCGCCTCCTGGTTCAAACCCTGAGGCTGGCTAGCCTCACTCCAGGGACAGAGCAAACCTCCACGTCAAACACATTCCTGGAAAAGCAGTCCACTCCAAAGCTTGCCACGATTCCTGCACTCCTCACCACCATGCTCCTGCCTTCTGGCAAGGAGAGCTTCCCACTAGCCTGTGAAGGCACCAGCTAAACCAGGAACAGCATGGCCGCTTCCTTCCCGGCTTCCTTCGGCTTAAGGCTGCCTCCTGGTTCAAACCCAGGCTGGCTAGCCTCGATAACATGCTTAACGTATGTGAAATCAAGTCTTGCCTTTGTTGCGTCTAAGAAGCACTCTGGCTATACTGCTTCCCAGCCAGATTTGTTTGTTCTTTTGACAGTCCAGAGGAACACAATAATGGGAAAAGGACGTCTTTTTGAGCAGATGGGATTTATAGATGCCAGCGGTATTTTGAGAGCCTATGCAATACACCACACTGTTCATTTCTTAACTTTAAACAAGCAAAACCTGTTGGGAAGATGGAAAACTAACAAAATCTCTGACAGAGAAATTGGTAATAAACCAAGAGGTTTTGCCACAGACAGCAGTAAGAACTGATCTTACCCATGAGATGGGAAGATTTAAATGAGGTAGAATTATTTTTTTAAAAACCCAACCTTCAAACTCATTCCTATCAAATTGGAACCAAATCACAGCTGCACCTCCAGCTGGTTTTCAGAAGCTATAAATGGTACAGGAGAGTATTCATCTTTACCCCAAGGACCAGTTGGTGTATTCGAACTGCCTGCCTCTGAGGTGGCAGTATGACTCCTTACCCACCAGGCCACCAGAGCTCCCTTTGAGGTAGAATTAGTACTGGCCAGTGTGTCTGTGAATGCCTTCACACTGAAAGTTTCATTTTCTGGGGAGACTCATGTTTTTGTTCCTAAAATGAAGCCCAAAAACTGTCATGTGATCTAGATCTTCACTATATCAGTGAGGGGGAAAGATGCTTACATTCTAATGAAACCTGAGTTTTATGTGTTCATTTTGAAGTAGTATTTGGAGAAATTGTTGAGGCTTTTAGGTGTTAATAACACTTGTTACCTTAACAAAAGCATTCTGTAGTTGCTTCTTTCATCACCAAGAAGAATATATTGAGTTAAGGGGAACTCTGGTGGCCTAGTGCAATCCCAGAAGTGGTGGTGGTGGTGTTTGGTGCTGTCGAGTCATAGACGACTCATAGTGACCCTATGAACGAACAGCCTGAGTACTGTCCGTACATAGAGTTTCTGGAGGCAAGCCATTTTGGAAGTGGATGCCACTCCTGCTTCCAGGCTTGATTTAGTCGGGAAGCTCCAGCCAACACTGTCCACCATGGGTGCCCATTACCACGATTGGCACATCCCATCCCAGAGGTACGTGGGTCAAATCCACCAGATGCTCTGTTGGAGAAGGAGGGGCAATCTCCTGTATTAGTCAGATCTGTTTTGACGGCAGACACACAAAAGAATACAACATTTAAAAAAAACCCAATATGTTGAGTTAAGGGAATAAAAGGATATGCTGGTCAATTGTGTTAATAAATAAAATAGACATGAAAATAAGACGTTTATATCTACTATGAGGAAAAATTTAAAGTTCAGTGCTGGAAAGATTTTTGTGAAAGAACTACATTTTCATTATGGAAGAGAATATGAATCAATACAACTCCTGTACCAAGAAATTATATCAGGCCTGAAAATAAAATTTACATGCTTTTTAATAAATTTTACTTTGGGAATTTATACAAAGAAAACTTTAAAAAAAGAGAAGGAAAATAGTCTGTGCACACAGATCTTACAGCAATCATAACAAACCGGCACCATCTAAATAACTAACTAAAGGGGAAGGAGTACGGAAATGATGGTACAATTTATACAGAATACATTTATGTTTTTTAATGACAATTAGACTATGCAATAGTTCTTAGCTAAAAAAGGCCAATTCCAACACTGCAGTTTTGTAAATATTAAAATTTTATAGAAATGATGCCTTTGAAAAAAAGATGATGTGAATATATAACACGGGTTGAATGAAAGGAGACAGTGACAAATCTTGTTTTGTATCATCTAAATACAGTGCTTTGTTAGCATTACAAGTACAGTGTGTGCTTGAAGCAAAATTCTAGTTGACTAAATGCCCCCACTGCCCCATTTCTCCATACTAGGCAAAGCCCAGGGGAGAAGTCATGCCCTCTGCCCCTAACTGAGCATTTATTTCCCCCCACATAGTATGTACTCATCCACAGGATAGTAAAAAATATATATGTATATTAAGTGCTAGTTCCTACTATTAGCTAAGAATTCAATCTAAAAACTAGATAGGTAATGAAAATATTTCTAGCTTTAATTGTGTTATTTTGTAAAACCGTAACACTGGAGAATCCTCCTCGACTGAACAGCGTTCAGTGTCAACTGAGTGGTTAGGCCTAACCTAAAGAACTATCACCGAAAATAGTATCATTTTCACATCATAACTGCTAAGTACTTGTAGGCTACAAAACTAATTCAATCTAAAAAAAAGAAACAAACCCACCAAAACCTAATTAAATCTGTTTTCAGCATTCTGTTGCAGCGTTTTGGAACTAGCTCCTTTAGAATGCTCTAACAGCTTGATGGCCTTGTCGGAGTTCTCAATATTTCTAAGCAGAGTCTCTAATCTTCTCTTAATTTTCTTCTGGTCTTCAAGAGCACAGCCAATGACTATAGACTGAAACTTCTGGTCAACTGGCCCCGGTGGCACCTCAGAAGAACAAGCACTGTAGAGTGACATTAAGTGACTCTTGGCATTTTCTAGATCATCCAGAAACTTATTGACCACATCATCAATAATCCTAGTGGCGTGCTTCAGGGATTCTTGCTGTTGGGGATTTCGGATTGTTTCTACTGAAACTTCAACAGTAAGTGTTCGCCCCATCAAGCGATTTGCAGTCAGATTTAATTCTTCTCTTTCTCCTAAACAAACAAACAAACAAAATTTAACTACCAACTAGAGAAACTTACTTATCAAGAATACTAAGACAATCAATCATTTGTGGCCAAATCTGCTGTGAATTTTCCTTAATGGTAAAAAGCTACAATTATAGCACCTGAGTGGGTAGATGGGGAGGAAAGATGACCAGCCTCCTCCCGTGTGATTTACAGGCTCTGAAAATTTGTCGCAGAGTCCAATTTGATAACAGTAACACATGAGATTAACCAGGATGAAGTACAATGGCTTACAGAAAAAGGCTGTAAAACAGCTTTGTTAGAAAGACTTTAGACATGGGATAGCAGGTAACTACTCAAATATTAGCACAGTTTGCTAAATTTGTGGGTGGGTTCCTAAATAACATGCCTCTGGAAACTCTATGAACTTAGATAACCGTTGATAGTTATGGAAAGGCTTCAGGCCTTTTTGTTCATAGGATATCAACAACAAGAACAACATTTAATACTAGGATGGAGATAAAATATAAACAGAGAGTGAGCAGTGACCATAATTGGCTCAGTGCTGGGTGGAGCAGTGGAGACCAGATGTCTCTGATAAGGTTGTAGATAATCACATGCTGCCTTTATGTTGGCTGATTCCCTGGGGCGTAGCAGGTTGTGCTGGGCTGCTTACTAAAACGGAGGCCATGGAGACCAACCAGCCACTCTGCAGAAGAAAAATGTATCCTAGGAAACTCTATGGGTCAGTTCTAACCTGTCCTACGTGACTTGATGGCAGTGAGTTTTCTTTTGGTTTTCATGCTGGCTGAGAAAATAAAGCCACTGTACAGATGATGAGACATGGACTTCATCTTAGGTCACTATAGAGGATAATGAGCTGGTCTCAAAACCACACACAGACTTCATCTTCTCCAGAGAGACAAACATAAGCAGGCCAAGGGGGCTAAGGTTTAGCCAGCATAAGGAAGCATGGAGAGGAAAAGTAGTTCAGTCAACAACTATTTCTTGAACAAGCCAGCAATCACTTGCTTGTTTTGTTCTTTAACTTCCTTTCTACTTTGCTGACCTCTGACCAAGAGAAAGCAGCCTAGATCGTAATTCCATTGTTGGTTGGTAACCATCTTTGTGTTTTGCTTTTTTTTTTTCTATCTGGAGTTAGACTGCATACTTACCACTTACCTGGCCTGGTAGACTAACTTGGCTACAAGTGGGCAAAAGGAAGTTAGTATAATGCCAATGACCCCTACTACTGAGATAGTTCCAACTCACAGTGATTCTCTATTGGGTTTCTGAGGCCATAAATCTGTATGGAAGGAGACTGCCTAGCTCTGTTAACTGTAGTTCATAATGGGTTGGACTCCTAACCAAAAAATCCAGGGGTTCGAATCCACCCACTGTTCCATGGAGAGAAAATGAACAGTCTCCTCAGAAACCGATTCAGAATTGACGTGACAGCAGTGGAAGTACCAGTGACACTGGCTTTGTTAGTGATCTATTATGTAGGCAAATGACAGTACATTTTTTTTTATTTGTGGAGTTTTTATTTTGTTTTTGGTCTCTATTTTTCTCTGCTTCTTTCTTAAGTTACATCCCAATACATTGCCTTTTGTGTTTATTTCCCTGCTTCCAATCTTGAATCATTTTTTTCTGCTTTTTAAATGTGCTTCAGGCCAGCGACTGGTAAAGAAATGGGGTTAGTAATGTGAGCCTGAAGCCAGACACAGTGCTTATTGTTTGTGGCCAGGCTCTTCCTGACCTCGCAGGGCTCCTGGCGAACATCTGGGCTGGGGCTTGCTGCAGGAATGACCTCTGGGGTAGTGGCTGTTGCGATAAAGTGACAGCTGCAGCTGCTGCCCCCAGCTCCCATCAAATGCTGAAGTCTTATGAACTCTTGCTACAAGCAAGCAGGATCTGACCATCGTGTGTCACAAGCCCCCTAAGTGAACGTAAAAGACGAGCCCTTGCTTTTGGAAACGGTTCTCACCATCACTGATCTGCCTCATGTCCTGGCTGTTCTGAATACTGTGAATCATCTCCAGCAGAATTTCTTTCTCTTGCTCAATAGCACTTGCTGCTTCTCTCAAAGCTTCAACCCTGCATAAGTAGAAAATCAAGAGTTATTACATGAAGAATGTGCTAGGAAATTCCCTCATCACTGTCTCATTCAATACAACTCGATTTTTATCAAGATTATTAGGTATTCTCTTCAAGGATAACCAAGAGCTCTAGCAGCCTACTGCGTAAGGAGTTGCACTGCTAAGCCAAAGACAGGAAGTTTGAATCCACCAGCTGCTTGATGGGAAAAAGAAGGGGAGTCTCCTGTGTGATTTACAGCCTCTGAAAATCTCCTGGAGGATGAGCTGGGAGTTGGCTCTGATTTGAAGTGTTAGTAACAACAGAATCTTGACGGTGGAAGAGATACACACTTGCTTTCTAAGGCAGAGGTCTCCATCTGTCCCCACCTTGTGTTCTGTGGAAGAAAGGCATGGCAGTTGGAATCTGTAAAGATTATAGCTCTAGAAGTCTTATGAGGCAGTTCATTTCTTTTTTTAGAGGGTGGCCTTTTTTTTTTTTAATTGAGTTGTAACTGACTCAATAACAAAGGGTTTGGTTTTTAGGTTTTGTAGCTGATTGGCATGTATTCTCTGCATACACAATTACTCCCTGACTGCTTTCGGAATGGAACCAGCTTCTCTCATCTAATCATGTGTTAATTTTGTCTGGGATGTCCCTCACCGAGCAGAGATCCTTATTCTGATGTGATTAAATCCATCTTTTACTTTTTCTGACGTCTAAGCATTTGAGGTTGAAGAATTTTCTTCACCTTGGTGGTTGTTACAAGTTGCCGTTGTGTCAGTTTCCCAAGGCATGGCAGCCTCATATATAAAGGAACCTAACACTCTCTGATACGGGTCATTCCCATGATTCCTTGTCTGTCAAGAGTTTTGTAATCCACAGGATCTTCGTTGGATTATTTTCAGAAGTAGATTGCCAGGCCTTTTTTCTATTCTTCCTTCAACTGAAAGCCCCACTGAAACAGTTCACCATCACAGGAACACACAAGGTTCCACTCTTCTCTGCCTGAGGTGCTCACCATGTATGAGGGACACGGGCTGGGAACGAACCCCGGTGTCCCACGTGGAAGGCAAGAATTCTACCACTGGAACCATCATGCTCTATCCCTAGGCCAGAAAATATTCTTACTTCTCTTCTACTAATCCTGTAGTTTCACCTTTCATATTTGTCATTAATCGGTCTAGACTTCAGCCTTGCATGTTGTTAGTTAGAGATTTTGGTTTTCTCCAAGTAGTGACCAACTTCTCAAACATTATATACCAGACAATCTCACTTTCCTCCAATGATTTGGATTTTAAGTCTACCTCTGAAATTCCTATAACATCCATTAGTATATCCGATGGTCTTGCACCAAACCTCCATGCTCTTGTGTGTGTGTGTGTGTGTGTGTGTCTTATAGCATGTCTTAGTATTTGGGAGAGAGAGCAAGCCCACTTATCTCCTTTAAAGATAATTAGTTATGTATGACATTTATTTGTCTATATAAACTCTTGATTAAGTCTATTTCATTTTTTAAAAAGAAAAAAACATGGCCAAATGGCAACAAGCTGCACTGCAATCCCAGATGTACGCGGTTCGAATCCACCATATGCTCTGCTGGAAAAGGAGGGACAATCTCCTCCTATACCAGTCAGATCCAATTTGATGGTACACACACACAAAAATAATTAAAAAATTTAAAAAAATTAAAATAAA